TTTCACAAAAATCTTTTCGCCCCCCCCCCCCCCCCCCCCCCTCTCAACCGTACATACAATACAGAGACTTGTTGAAGACCATGAATTTCAGTAACGACCGCTTCATCAGGACGACGGACACATCGCACAAGGTGGCCGCGTCTGCTCTGTGGAACAGGCTGCAGGAGAGGGGGTGAGACGGCGATGTGGAACTGGGGGGTGCACTAATGTAGGACGCACGCGGTTGTCGTTAGATCTTACCTCGCATACCTCATATTTGTACAACAATGCCAACAACCAAAAATAACAACAACAACAACAACAACAACTACTACTACTACTACTACAACATCCAAACAGCCGCAACAACAGGAAGGCGGGGAATCATTGGCTTTATTCCTTTGTCGCCGCCGCCGCCGCCGCCGCGGCCACGATTTGCGTGTCCAGGCAAATTTCGCTGGGGGTGTACGCCGGGTGGTACAGCGTGAGGGACGAGGCCTTCTACGGGGAGGCGGAGCTAGTGGACGGCAAGGCGCCCTCAGGTGAGCCACAAGAAAGACACACACCCACACCCACTCACACGCGGACAGGTGGAGGGAAACAAAGGTACAGCGACTTCGGTGTCCGAAGAAAAAATGGATCCCGGGGAGATCTCGATGGCTGACAAGTGTGTCTGTTTTTCTCTTTCTTTTTTCCCCACTCTTGAAGACTGAGGTCTTTTCATCGGTCAGCTGGTTAGCGCCGTTGATGCTTCTTGCAAGGCACAGGCTACAGTTTCACATGCTGTCTGGCCCCGTGGAAGCTAAGCCTTGTTTCGCTATGTTTGTCCGCTTATGGCTGGCATTTTTTTGCGGAGGTCGGATTAGCGCGACACACTCGCCGCCATGACCCCCCCGCCCCCCCTGTTTTTTTCTGCTCTTTTTTTTAGAACAAGCATGGAACACCGGTGCTTATTTTATCCCAACATTGGTCGTTTTTCTACGTCGCTTCCTATCCTTACTCGACTGACGTTCTTTTTTGGGGGGCCCGGAGTAAACAGGCGCTGAGGTGGAGTGGGTCGAGAAAGAACCGTCGTACTTCTTCAAGCTAAGCGAGTGGCAGCAGCCGCTCCTGGACTTCTACGCGGAGAACCCGCAGTTCATAGCCCCGGAGTCGCGGAGGAACGAAGCGGTGTCGTTCGTGTCGGGGGGGCTCAGAGACCTCTCCATTTCCAGGTCCGTAGCGAGAAATCTGTCGGACGCGTTAATCTCGTTCGTTTTTTGGTGTGTGTTTTGGCTTTTTGTTTTCGTGGTTGGTACTATAGGCATTGCAAGAACAACACAGCAGTAAGTCAAGCTCTATTCTATGTACGCAAATACCCACGATTGCGAAAACCGCTTTTTTTATTGGTTTTGTTTATTGTGGTGGTGGCGGTGGGGTCGTAAATCTTGTTCGCGTTGTTGTTGTGTATGTGTGGCGCTTTTTTTCTTCGTATGCATCGCGAAAGAACACAGCAAGTCAAAAACACTACCACTATTTACTACAATAAGGGTTGCGAATTTCGTGTTTTTTTTTTGTTTGTGGTAGTGATGGTGGGGGTCGTTGGTATTAAGCAAAACCCATCATATCAAGCATACCACCTTCGCATTCCCATCCACAGGACCTCCTTCTCCTGGGGGGTACCGGTGCCCGGCGACGACGAGCACGTCATGTACGTCTGGGTCGATGCCCTGGCCAACTACATCTCGGCCCTCGGTTTCCCGGAGATGGGCGAGGCGGGAGAGTTCAGCAAGTGAGCCTGTTCAGTCGGTCGGCAACCAACCTCGTTTCGTTTCTCTTTTTTTTTTTTTTTCTTACGAAGAAAACACAGCATGAATTCAGCTCTCGCTTTTCGACGGATAAGATGTCCAGCATAAAAGTAGCAAATAATGAAGTATTCTGAGTTTTTTTTTCATGTGATACTTGTTTTCTGTTTCTTCGGTAAACTTCTCTCCCCCCCCACACACACACCTTCGCTTGCCAATATCCCCACCCTCCTATCCTCCAACAACCAAACAAACTAACCGTTAAAACAAACGCCAGGTTCTGGCCTGCGGACCTGCACGTCATCGGCAAGGACATCCTCCGGTTCCACTCGGTCTACTGGCCGGCCCTCCTCCTGGCGGCGGGGCTGGAGCCTCCCAAGAGGCTGTTCGTCCACGGGTGGTGGACCAAGGACGGCCAGAAAATCTCCAAGAGCACGGGGAACGTGATAGACCCGCTGGACCTGGTGGCCCGTTACGGGGTAGACGCTACGCGGTACTTCCTCATGAGCGAGGTGGGCGTGGCGTTTTCTTTGCCGCACGTGGTGGTGGTGGGTGGTGTTGATATTCAGTCCTCTCTGCTTCCGTTTTTCCCTGTCACTTTTTATCTCTCTCTCTCTCTCTCTCTGTCACGTTTGTACTCGCTCTCTCGCCCTCTCTGTCGCTATCTCTCTTTCTGTCTCTACCCCGCTCAGTCTGTCTGTCTGTGTTCATGTATCTTCTTTGTGTGTACATATATCTTGTCTCTCTCTCACCCTCTCTCTCTTTTTATTGCTCCCTCTCTCTGCTCACGTACGTCCTCTCTCGCCTCCCGACGGCGACACGCCCAACGACAGGTACCCTTCGGAAACGACGGGGACTTCTCGGAAACCGCCTTCCAGAACCGCGTGAACTCCAACCTAGCCAACGAAGTCGGAAACCTCGCCATGCGGACGCTGTCCATGGCGGTAAAGAACTGCGGGGGCCAAGTGCCAAGACCGGCGGCAGCTGCCGATGCGGGGGACGTGGACGAGGGAGGTGACAAGGCGCTGGGGAGAGAAGACTTCGACCTTACGCCTGAGGACAAGGAACTTCTTAAGTCCGCGGGGGAGTGCCTTGGTGTCGTCAGGCCACTTGTCGGGGAGACGCAGCAGCTGCACAAGGCCTTGGAGGCTATCTTGCTGGTGAGGCATCGTGGGAGGGGAGGGGAGGGGGGGGGGGGGGGGTGTACTCATAGTCGTGCATGCCGTAGTCGTTAGACCATTGACCTCGCACCCCTACAAAGCCGGGACGGAGCACGCCGGGTTCTCATCGGGCCAGGCTCTCACATCGCCAAGCGCGAAGCGATGTGAGATTCGGCAAAGGGGGCGTTCTCGCATCGAGAGGGGTTGAATACTTATATCGTGTGTTTTGTTTTGTCGTTTTTGGTGGGTTAGTGTTGCAAGAGGCTTTCATGCTGGATGCAATCCTGTGACTCTTTCTCTTTCACTCTCTTTCTCTCTCTCTCTCTCTCTCTCTCTCTTTATCTGTCTCACTCGCTGCTACCCCCCCCTCGTCTCCCATCTCTCGCTCTCTTCATCACTACCCCCCCCCATCCACACCCTCATTTCTCCTCGGTAGGTCTCTAGGGACGCCAATAGATACGTCGATTTCCAAGCACCGTGGAAGCTCAAGAAGACCGACCCAGATAGAATGAAGACGGTCTTGTGGGTGCTGGTGAGTCAAGCTGTTGTACGATTATGCTTTCTAAAAAGGATTGCATTCCCCGCTTGGCGAAACGCCGAGACGCCGCATCAAATTTTGTACGGGGTTCACCTCGATCGTGTGGCAGGCCTTGATCGATTACTATACCCCCCCCCCCCCCCCCC